TGTTGTTACTATGAGATAATAGTACAAAATTTAGGAATTCAAAGATGAACTGAGTTATCAAAGAGTTTACAACTCAGCTATTCTCACCTGAATTTAACTACCAACCAGAGAAGGTGGTAAGTTCATAAGGTTTACAACCTTGCTGTGCAAGATAATGCTATTATATCTAACAAATGGAATAATGAAATGCTGCAGGAACCAAGTAGGGCTTAGAACTTGCAATAAATACCTCCTTTGATTGGTGACCTTTTGTTAATTACCCTTAGTTATCCTATATAGCTTTTGATCAAAATCTGGTGCTGAAGAGGTCATGAATTGGCATCAACTTTATATTGTTGGTTTTTTTTTCTTTCTTCTCCCAAGGTGATTTTTAAGCTTCAGGCCCTGATAATATGTCTCTTCTCAGAGCACTGGTTCACAGTATGGTTGAAATATTATTTCTATGTGGAAGTGGGAAACGGGCTGTTATTGCAACAATAAAAGTTCAATGCCATGATGTGGAGGGATCTGAAGCTGATCAGCATGAGGTTACAGCCTAACCAAATTGGCTTCCTGTCATTTTAAGCCCACCTAGGATTCTTTAGCTTACTTTTGATTGCTGCAACATTTAAACAGATGTTAGCAAAAGCCTTGGAAGGTCTCTCAATTGCATCAGCTTCAGATTTACAGAAAATTCTGAGAGTTAACACATACAGCATACAAGCAACTGCTATGCATCATCTCATGGAAGTGCTTCCTGTGTTTCGAAATCGTATGGGGGCAATGCTGTTCCTTATATCTGCTCTACTGTCACGAGGACTGGTTTGAATGATACTTCACAATCTTTTCTTTACAGAATGTCTTTTTGCAGCATACCACAGCATTATATGCATGACACCTCACCCTTTTTCTCCTGAATGTATTTTTCCCCATAATGTTGCTTCATATTCAAGTAGTATTAATTACAAAATAAACACTTTATGCATGCTTGGTGGACAAAATCTGGACAATTAAACAATATGTTATTGACAGCAATCTTATCTTATGGTGAAGCTTAGACATGTTAACATGCATGGTCTCAAATATCTGTCGGTATGGTGCATTCCAAAAATATTTACTGGTCCACCATGTACTAGTACTGGACCAGAATTTGGTATTTAGTTTTTATTCATTTTTTTAGGTGGTACCAGGAGGTATGAGTCGGTATATCAATACCTTTCCACTCAGGTAAATTATTAAAAACCAGTATCCTATTATGATTTAAATCCTTGTTTACATGTAAGGTGGATATTAAGGCTTCCCAATTATACAATCTGGTGCACAACCTGGTCGATACAATAAAGGAAGAATGTATTTAAGGCAGAAACTATTCTGGTGCAATATTCTTAATTTGATAGTGAAGATTACATGCTAGATAAATTTATGGTATGCCACTCTATTATTAAGTTTAGCTGGAGGATCGTAATTTAGCCCAAAGAGTGAGGGAGAGAATGATAGATTAAAAAAAATGGCTGAAGTGACTTGGTAGCAGAAAAGTAAGTGACTTAGTACAGAGTAGTAGATTAAAAAAATATTAATCGGTTCATAGAATGAGAGCTATTGAAGTTGCTGAAGTTGGGAAGTGGCAACCCATATGGGCAACAGTATGCTATTGTTCATTTAGAAACTGTAGTTTTCAGATATTGTCCAAGACTATGTTCCATATGGAACTGATGAATGTTCCATATCGTTCTTTTGTAAATGTTATATGTTTACCATCACAGTAAGATAAGGTGATGATCCATGATCAAAGTTCTTGCTGTGCTGAAAAACTATTTTTTAAGGATGTTTTGTTGATTGCATGGATGTTTACACTCATTATGATAGATACATGGTAATCTGAATTTTATATTGTCGTTTGCAAAAGCCTATTGCTGAATCTTTTTTGGCATTATAATTCCAGGAATCTGTTCAGGATGATAGAGATGATCCTAGCCTACCACTGGTCACAGCTCCATTTGGGCATGCCTCACAGGTAATATTTAATTCATCGAATTTTAACAACACATTCAAATACTTCAGGAGGGAAAATATGAATCATGATCGCAACATCGTGCTACCAAGATTGCCCATTCACATGGATATTTCCTCCCATGTAGTGTTAATACTGCAGTGAGTCAATATTGCATTTATTGTGTCACCACAATAGTATACTAATGTCTCAAATGTAACTAGTAGTGCTTCAGTATCATATATCTCCAGAAATCTTGGTGCAGGACAGTCTAATCCTGAACCCTGGTAATTGCAGGAAATTGTGAATCTTCTGATTTGTGGACAGGCTGTCCCCAATGTATTTGATGGCCGGATGGATCTTGGTGGTGGCATGTTCTTGAAGGGCATACCCATGACTCCGGAGATTGGATTCCTTTCGCTTCTGGAATCTCTCAATCTGTGTAAGGTTGGCCAGCATCTAAAATGCCCTAGATGGCCCATATGGGTAGTGGGTAGTGAGTCACACTACACTGTTCTTTTTGCTCTTGATCCTGCTGTGCAAGAAGAGAACGAGCTGGAAGAGCGAGAGTCAAGGATTAGAAGAGCATTTGATGCCCAGGATCAGAGTGGAGGGGGAGGCTTTATCAGTGTTGAAGGATTTCATCAAGTTCTCCGGGAGATGAACATTAACTTCCCTCCTGAAAGGCTTGACAACCTTTGCAGCTCAGGGTTCATAGTATGGAGTGAGTTCTGGCAGGCCTTGCTGGATCTTGATAAAGGTTTAGGGGGCTTAAAGGACTCATCTGGATTAATGGGCAAGAAGCTGTTTGATCTCTACCATTTTAATGGGATTGCAAAATCAGTATCCAATGGTACGTCTGCTGGAGGTGAGAGTCCATTGCAGAGACCGCGGCTTTGTAAGTTAAGTGTCGTGGTGCCTCCTAGGTGGACCCAAGAAGAGTTTTTGGCTGATGTGGTGAGTAGCTCAAGCAATGATTCCAGCACAAGAGAGACTGGAATCGTCGAGCTTAATCAGCCGCCGCAACCTCCTCAGCATGCACCACTAGTTGACTGCATTAGAACGCGTTGGCCACGAGCCATATGCAGTTGGATCGGAGATGCTCCCAGTATCGTGTAAAGGGAAGTTCCCATGAAAGGATAGTCTTTTCGGTACTCCTGCCATGTTACCTGCTTCAACCTACTTTGCAGCTAGAAATGTCTGATTGTGGTGATTGCTACCATCAATTTGTTTATTTATGTGGTGTAATTTTGTCCCAAAACAAAACTGACATTTGAGGGTTTCTTTTTTTTTTTTTTACCTTGCCAAAAAGAATGCTCAATATTTTCTCGGCCATTTGGTAGAGGCTCACATGTAGCTCAAGCATTGTCATTGTGTTGTATCTCACCAGCTGCTACCCTCATCCATCTGCAAGTAATTTCAATGCCAAAGGGTTGGAAGTCAGCAACCGGTTGGGTACGTAATTCCATCGTAAGTTCATCTGATGTCTTAGTCCAGATTAGAAGAAAGTTTTACTAACTCTCTATCTTTACATTCGTAGGTGAATTCTTGCAGATGCCGCGAAGTGTTGCAGAGGGTGGTCAACTGGCAACAGTGCAGCAGTCTCCAGATATCTCAGTACACTGGGTAAAGTCCTAGCACTCGTTATAACATTCTACTCGATGAGCTCTTTTTGAGTTTTCATGCACAGATATATGGTTGCAGAAACATCAACTTCCCATCTCACCATCAGATAAAACTCCCACTTGATTGTTCTTAGATGCACCCAATTCCCTAGATCGTTGCTCACGAGACTTCTAAGAATATAAATGGATTGATCCTTCGTGATATATCAATCCAAGATCATTCCTCATTTATGTCGTCTGGAAAAACACTCAAAAAATATTCCTACTCTACCTGGGTTGGAATACTCCCGTAACCTATTTTTCTTCACATAAATGGTATTTTATCTTCTGATAGAAATCTGGAGATCTAGCAATGGTCTTCATCAACTTGATGATAATGATGTTTGCACCTGCAACCACGAAAGCAAAAGAACCGACTTTGATGTGAAAGAATTAACCACAGGCCAACTCACATTCCCACCATCAGACAACTGAGCCATCAGCCACCACTTTTCTTGAGAGATCAATTCCAGTGATACGTCACCAGCATATAATTCACTTTCCTTTTCCCTTTCTGCAGTGAGCTGATGATTGTTGGTGAATATGAAAGTAGTTTCAAGATCTTTACTATCGGATAAGATTTGAAGTTTTACTTTTTTCTTTTTACTAAGTGAATTTAGTACATTATATTGTTTCAATGTTTTTATCCGATGCGGTTTTGCATTCTCGATATTTAGCCAGTAAAAAGTTCATTAACACGGAAAATAATAGCGGATCTAATTAATATTTTTATTGGATGAGGTTTCGGGTCTTCAATATTTAGTTACTAAAAGGTTCTATCGGATGCTGATTAACGTGGAACATAAGGGTGAAGTCATGCTTTTGCTTTGATGACAGGGCCAAGTGGGAGCAGGGCAATCTCTCCTACACGTCATTCAAGATTTTATTGTTTGGACCGCTTTGAATCTTTTTCCACATTTCCGCACAAAACAAAGCAATGTGCCTTCAGTGACTTGGACAAGGGCCAATCGATCCAATCGGGTCAGAGTCGAGATAGAAAACTATGATCCTTCAGCGGATCGAATTCGCTGACGATCCGATCCATCGACTTAAACCAATTTCATATATCTATTTTTACGTTACTTATTCAAATAAACATAAATACGACTCTCATCTGGAATACTTGGAATCATCCCGGTTTTCTTCGTAGAGCCGCCCGCTCATGCCGGTCTGCGACATGGCACCGCCATAGCCGAGCGGATCCACTGGAGTGGATCCGAGATACCCCATCGGAACGAGGAAACCCAAGATTACGTTATCCTCTATCGCGTCCTCTCTACGACCTGTGGTTTGTCCACCCGCTTGCGCAATAGGACCCACCTGTGGGTTCGGAGATGCGCGTGTTGGTGGGGTAAGTAGGTACGCCGGCGGGACGGTAGGATGGTGTTCTCGTCCTTCTAGTAAGGTTTTAACTCGTTGCTTTATTTCTCACTGCTTGGTGCGGCTGTGCTCCGAGTAGAATCCACCGTCACGATTCCGCCACCCGCCTTTTGCCGGGCAACCTTCGCCGTCCAACCGACGCTGGGAACCGCGATGGACCCCGCCGGCGCGCTGCCGCCGATGAACCCCCGCTTCGGGCAGATCCCCTTCCCCACACCCCGTGGGGGCGGAGGAGGCGGCGCCTCCCACCACCGACGGGCCCTATCCGAGACCTTCGTCCGCCTCCCCGACGACCTCCTCTTCGACTCCGACCCCGACTTCGAGATCCCCGACATCGACTTTTCTTCGCTCTCCGACGATAACTTCTCCGGCGATAACGGAGCGCCGATCGCGGCGGAGCCCGCGAGGGCGGCAACGTCGGCTGCGGTTGCAGCTGCGGGCACGGGGAGACCCGTCCCCGGGGCCCACCTCAGGAGCCTGTCTGTGGATGCCGCGTTCTTCGAGGGGCTGTCGTTCCAGGACGCGGTGCCGGAGGGGAGGGGGCACCACCGGAGAAGCGGGTCGATGGACGGGCCGACCTCTTCGTTGAAGGGTGAGTCGGCGCCGCCGCTGTCGGATTTCGCCAAGAAGACGATGCCGTCTGAGAAACTCGCCGAGCTGGCCCTGATCGATCCCAAGCGTGCAAAAAGGTCTTTGCGTTTTTTCCTCTCTTGACCTCTTTTGCTTCTTTGTGCCCTAAAACATAGAAAGCCTCTTTCTAGCAAAAGCAGCCCCACAGAATTCGAAGTATTAATCTTGTTTTCTGATGCTCGTTGATCTGATCAAGTGGCCTTCGTACCTACAGGGTTTTTGCTTAATTGGAATTCCACGCTCCATCACCTGAAAATTCCCCTATTCTTATTCTTTAATTTGTTTTCTTTTATTTTGAATATCTGTAGTTCTTCCAGAAAAGAAATTTGGAGTAGCAGGTTCTTTTTATCTCAAAATCTCTCATCTTTAAAGATATAATTACTCCATGCTTGATTAAATACCAAAAAGAAGGGTAAATATTTGACTCTGGAATCCTTGACATGGTGATTATTGGGTGTTTTGTGCTATAGGATTCTTGCAAATAGGCAATCCGCTGCTCGTTCCAAGGAGAGGAAGATCCACTATACAAGCGAACTTGAGCGGAAAGTTGAGACACTCCAAACAGAGGCAACCTCTCTATCAGCGCAGCTTACACTTCTGCAGGTAGGAGATATTGTTTACTTCACAGTTTATTGCCTTACCTTTTAAAGATTGGAAGCTGATTCAAGTTCTATGCCTACCCGTAAATTAAACGGATCCATTTGACCACCACTGGAGTCCTTGTTAGAGTTGAATTTAGATCATCCTTACGTAGTTCATTTGGTTTACGCCCATGTACTGGTAGATGGTATGAGTACTGAAATGTCAGAATTATATCTTTTCGTTTTAGGAAACCTCCTATGGGCATTACGGTATGACATGTTTTCTCTATTGGTACACAAGAGAAGCAAACAAGAAGCTTGTGCTCTTGTTGTAAAACGAAAAAAAGAAAAAGGTTGGCTCATACATGATGATCATGCCAATGCAGGGACCAAGGAGGATCAATGTAAATAATTTTATTTCCTGCAAGTAGGGGGGGTTCTCGTGATTCGAACCATGATCACCTAGGTCATAGAGGAAAAATCTTAATGGTCATTGAGGCTTGTCCTTTCTCTGAAAACTTTTACCAAGAAACTAAAATATTTGACCCAAATCTTGAATACAAAATCATATGATTCATAAGAATCATAAATGATAAGCAAATTGAAAAACCTTGTATTGAATGTAGGAGTATCATAGCACCCACCCAAATGCATTATCAGCTTTATTCATGTTGGACACATGTAAGGCACTCTGTAGTGTGCCCAAGTCTCAACCTGCCTGATAACATATTTCTATGATGCAGATAATTGATGCTATAACGGACAGATATGGATAAATGACAAATATACCATCTATCGAGTTTCATTTTCCTGTTTTTCTTTCTTTTGGTTCTTTCTACCTAATTTAGGATCATATCTTTAGGTGTGATAGTGTAAGCAACACAGAAAATTTCTTCTTTAATTAAGACTGGTCTAGTTGCAGAAAGAATATTGCAAACAGTTACATTTTTAACTAAATCCATATCCAATAACATATTTACAGTAAGGAACGTGCAGGTCTACGTTTATTTTGCTTGTCACTCTTAGCTTTTGTGAAGTAGCCAAATTTGCTGCTCAGGACTGGTGGAAGATGAATGTACAGAGGAGAATCGGAAGTGGATCTTTTTTTTTAATATGCTGATGAAAAGCGTCGACCAAGGAAGGAAAGAGAATCAGGTAAGCAAATTGGGTTGCACCAGATAAAGATATGGGGGAGGATATATACTTTACCAATGGAATAATACAGTGCACATGGGATCACAGATGAAACTGCAGACTTTGCTACTTTATGCACCTATTTACATGCCCCGAGTCACAGTGTAGACACAACTTGCAAATCAAAGAACCAAATATGGAAGGTCTACTGCTAGCAACTTTGGCTGAAACAAATTAGTAGCCAATTATGGCGGTGATTAAATGTCGGAATAGCAATAACTCTTGGTAAAACAAATTTAATAGCAAAGGCAGGTAGCTTGAAGAAATGCATCAACTATTCTTAGATGAGGATATGACAAAATGGTACTTGGGAATCAGAATATATACAAGATGGTTATATGATCATTGTTTGATGCTTCCTGATACTAACATAGAATGCAGCAAAGTGGAGTAACTGTACCAATGAGCAATGGATAGAGCTGATACTAAAAACAAGGAACAATACTGAGCAATCATGAGTCAACATTGGAGCTTTACTTTTCTTTACTCCCGATCTGCATTTCGAGTTATTTTCCTTTCAGTTTTTGTTGATCTTGGCCTATTTACTTTATTTTTTACATTAATTAGAATAATAGCAAAGTTGTCTCAATATAAATGAATCTACATATCTGGTATGTCTGGATTCTTATGTAAATGTAAAATAATACAGGTTGCTTATTGTGTTTTATTTACTACATCCTTCTTCATCTCACATTTCATTCATTTTACCATTGTAAAACTAACATATTTTCTTTTGATTTTCCTCAAAAAGCAAAAGCAATTATTTTTTCAAGCATTGATTATGATTTATTTTTGTTCCATCTGAAAGTACTGTATTTCTTAGTGATCAGCATTTTCTCATATCCTGAATACATAATTGATGTCCAAATTTCTCACAAAGCAGAAAGATGGTACTGGTTTGACAGCTGAGAACAGGGAACTCAAGTTGCGATTGCAGGCTATGGAACAACAAGCTAAACTTCGTGAGGGTAAGTATTGATAGTTAGCTTTACACTAACAAATCACAAGATTTCAGAGGTATGTAGATTGTTTTGTGATTGAACTTCTGTTACCAGACCTCAAGGGGATAAGATTGCCATGGCATTTAGAATTGACCTCACTTTCTAACGAATTATGATTTACCAATCAGAAATTAGTGCTGCGTCTGACAAAAGATCCAAGCAAGTAAATTAGGCATCTGGCATCTGCTTACAATTTGATTTTTATGCCAAATGTTATGCATGATTTTTCTTTAACTTCTCTTGTGGTTAACAAGCAAAAATGTTCTACTAATCGTGACTAAATGCACGAAATTATATTTTACATCAAGGCTTCCTTTACTAACACAATTTCATATAATCCCAATATTCCTTGCTTCTGTTATTTGTTAACTAGACAATCTTTCTTTTTTTTATCACTGTCTGAAGCAGTTAGATTGAGAAGGATTATAATGATGTTTTACTCATCGTGCAAAGCTTTTTCTTGGTTTTGTGCAGCACTCAGTGAAACTTTACGAGAAGAAGTCGAGCGGCTTAAGAAAGCAACGCGACAACTTTCAAGCGTAAATCAATACCCTGACAACATTCTGATTCAGCAGAGCGTACAAAACTACTACACTCACCATCAGCAGCTGCCTCACCCAAGTAATCAGGCTCAACATCTCCGCTCTTCTCCGGCACAAGATTCATCAGACGATAAATCATGCTTAAGTGATCCAATGGACTTCATGTGACAAATGGATCGGTCATAAGTTCATTTGCGAATGCTTTTCCGCAAAGGTAAATTATATAGTTCGTTTGTACTCTTTGTATCTTCATGTACTTTGGGTAACCTGTTGTTCATCTCGTAATCGTGTGTTGTAAAGTCATCAACTCATGAAAGGATGCATAAATCAGATGTATGAAAGCAACTTGTACCTTTTTTATGTTAGAGTATTGGAAATGATAAATTTCATCAAGATTTCATGTGTGTAACATTTGCAAAGCATAGTCCTGTATCGGAAGTGTGTAAGCACTCTAGTTAGTTAACAAGGGTTTAATAGGTTTATTATCTTCGATACACCAGTTAGTTAACAAGGGTTTAATAGGTTTATTATCTTCGATACATTATCGGTTAAGTCAGTCCATCGGATCAAATTGCAACAACTCTAAATGATCATACGCATTCCGGCATGCAATATATTTGGCCTCAAAGCATTGTGGTTGAATTTTCAAAAAAAAAAGTTTTTTTTTTTATTTCTTGCTCCATATTTTCAAATTCCTCCTCTAATAACATATTTTTAATAAAATATCCTAACTTGACTGTCAATCACCTAATTTTGTTTTTCTTCTTTATGGACTTCCATCTCCCTCATGGGCTTGTACAGGTACAATGTCCCAACTTGATAGTCAACCACCTATTTCTTTGTTCTTCTTCATGGACTTTATAGACTGTTTCAATTACATTACTTTTATACTATGTTACAATATTTTCAATAATATCAATAAAATATTATAACATTATACTTTATTTTTTTATAAAAAATATGTTTATGGTATTTCTATACTGTGTTACAGTATTTTCAACCATTATAGTATTTTTATACTATGTTTCGATATTTATTTTTTTATATTATTGAAATGTAAAAAATATTATAACATTTATCTTATGAATTAATTGATCGAGAAAAAAATGAATAGTCCTCCACGTATTGGGTAAAAAAAAAAACGTTGTTAGGAAATTATGAAAATATGGCTATTTTTTCGAAAATAATCAGAAAAACGAATTTTCTCGAAAAATTATCCGTACTTTAATAACCAGTAAAAGGAGCTATTAATTTCAAATACATATCATTATTCTGTATTGCCGGACGCTGATCTCTTTTCTTATAGTCGAAATAAAAACGTGAGCTAAAAAGGGGGACAGATGAGCCATGCACACTGCAGCACGTCAGATCAAGATTGGACGGCTGGCAGTGGCTTTCGTCGCCATCAACGTCGCATCTCCGTGCTTCAGAATCCACCCATGCCAAGTCACGTCCGCGACTGCCGGGAAATCAAAAAGCGTACCCAAATAACGTAACTGGACTCCCCTCACCCGGCGGGTCCCACCTCAAAGTCTGTCCGGTGTCAGCACCGCGACGGGTGGGTCCCGCCGTGGGTCACCGACAGGATCGGGTGGTGCAGTCGCGGTGGGATACAAACAAACAGTTCGCTCGAAGGGTCAAAGTCGCATCCAACAGTCAAAGTCGCACCGCATCACGTAATCTTTTGTGGTTTGGCCTTCAGAGGTTGTCGTTCTTTTTGTCTCCTTTTTCCTCCCCCTCCGACATGGCATCGCGTGATTCGACGAGATGGATATTGTGGAGCTTAAAGACGCGGATGAGATGGGATATTCCTTGACGCAAAGATGCGGAGATGACGAGCGAGGCTCTCT